AAGGATTTATTTTAAATATATATTTTTTTAATTTTTACGCGATGAAGTATTTTAGAGCTTGACATAATTTGAAAAATATATATTCATAAAATATATATAAAGATGCCTAATGAATTGTATTTTTTAAAATTAGGTTGGTGGGAACCATGGTTCTTCAAAGGAAAAAAAACTTTGTTTTGAGTGTAAGATGGTGAATTAAAATAAGAAATATTTTGTTAGTAATGTTATTTTAATTCTTGTCTTATTTTAAATAATTTTAAGTCATCTTAAAATAATTTAAAATAAAATCATTTAGTGGGCCCTAGCCCCTGGTTGAGAACCACTGGTCTTTGTGGTAGTCTTGTCTGTTTGCTTGTTTGTTTGTTTTTGCATCTTTTAGTCAAAATATAATATTCAAAAATGAGTCTGTGATCCCTAAGGAGTTTAATGCAGTACTACAGGGGTTCTGCTAATTATTGTGTGATCACAAATTAATTTGTGATTTAAAAAAAAAGTTCAACAAAAATACAATATTAAGTTAACTTTAGATTTAGTTGAAGTTGAAAGTTAAAGTTTATATGATATTACTACTGTATATGAATTATAGGCCAGGCTTAAAATGCAGCAGTTTTATATAATATCTAACTGGATGTCTCTGCTCTCACTCATCTTCATATGCACTACAGGGACCAGTGGCATGAAAAAAGACCCCTAAATTATCCTGTTAATTTATTTACTTATTATTTACATATGTAAATGTAAAAAGTCGTCTTCAAACAATGACTGTTTGCACATTCTGTTTGTTGTATACTGCAACACCAGGTGTTAATTCGACCTTTAATACAAGGAGTTTACTCTAGACTGTTGTGCTTCTTTAGGCCACCGTGGTGCTGACATTTAGCCTATCGCTCTTTTGGGTGAGTCAATTACTGTCAGTAAATGGGGAAACCTTAACGATGGCATTTAAGGTTGTTTGTATTGATTAAATGATGATGTCGAAACTTTAATATCCTGAATTTGCTTGGTACAGGTTGGTTTAGGCTAAGAATAACATTTCTATATTTATTGTGTTCATATTATAAATGTATGTAGAAATGTAATTTTGTGTGTGTGTGTGTGTGTGTGTGTGTGTGTGTGGGTGAATTATGAATTACTTAAGTTCTAATAGTTCTAAATGACAATTTTTTTTACTTAATTAATTAATTTATATTATTATTAGTGGTGGTACCCAAGGAGGACGCGGTCTCCATGGCAACCTCGCCACTCCTTTTATTATCCTTATAGTTAAAAGTCCTGGCACTTGTGCTGTGAACTGTGCTGTTTCACGCGCGCGCTGAGAGCTCGTGCAGTGATCGCAGATTACGAGCGCGCTCTCCTCTCACGCTGCTCGCGCCGCTCAGGTGCCTCGGGTTTTTGAATTTCCCACGCCAGTTCGTGTCACATCCGGTTCAGCACCACGGCTTGGCCCCGCTTCTCAAATTTCCTGCCCACACCTACTCTCTCGTATTAACCAGCCTTATAGATATATTATCATTATTATTATTATATAATGAACTTTATATAATGAATATAATGAACACTAAGTTCTGATAGTTCTAAAAGAGCCTCGTGTCACATCCGGTTCAGCACCACGGCTTGGCCCCGCTTCTCAAATTGTATGCCCACACCTACTCTCTCGTATTAACCAGCCAAGTTTGTCTAGTGATGAAGTGATATTTTCGCCGCTTTCGTGCTCATCCCTACATTCGCGATCGGATCGCCGGTCCAGCAAGAAAGAGTACGAGGTGGCTTCGAGAAACTGAGATTAGATAAATATGCAAAGAGACGGTTCTGCAAACCATTCCAATTTCATTTTTCCATTATCTTGGCGCTGAATTAAAACATATACGTACGTTCAAGAGGGAGCATCTACTAGAGAGCCGGACAGCTGCACAGAAAACAGCTCTGCATGTGATATCTTCGGATCAGGTGGCATCGGCGGCAGAAGATGCAGCCTGCAAGCAAGCTCCTGAGTCTCACCCTCCTTGTACTGATGGGCACTGAACTCACCCAAGTAGGTTTATAAACGCCATTTTTCAGCGCGCATCTCGGAATAATTAGGTAGATATGCTCAGAATAAGCCGTTTCGTGTATTATCATAAGGGCAGATTAATCTATTGGGCAGCAGAGATCGGGATAGACTAATATGATTAAACCTCATTTAGAAGAAAATCACAGCGGGGATTCTCTTTTCTAGAGCTTTCATGCCACATGGCTAGAGGGTTTTTTTAAATAGTAACTTTTATGTAGGTTTATAGGCTTTATTGTTGGTGATTATGAATGTGTTCACAGAGTAGCTAATAGTTGACAGTTTTAGTAGTTGAAGATAAATGCATCTTGGTACCAGTGAAGTCTCTGTTATTGCGTGTGTGAGAGTGGTCATCAGTATGATTTTATCATTTGTATGATTATCCCTATTCAGGTTAAAACACTCCAGGGCTTGTGTAGTGTATTCTCATTATCCACACTCTGTGATTGTCTCTGACACTACAATCTCACTTTGAAGACAAAAATAGCAAGTAAATTGCTTTCTCCACACTCCACACTGATGCTTACTCTTCAGTAACTAGTTTTTCTGTACGCCTTGACATTAAATCTCTGTTGGTGAGTTAACCAAATGGTAACATTTCAGCTTTACTGAAGGGACAAGGTCATTAGTCTTAATGTACAGAAAAATTAATATTGCAAATTTAATTAATTTCATCTATTTAATGTATTTTCCATGGATTGTTTTGTGCAAGAAACAAGGTTTGATTAAATGTATCTGTTTTTGTCTTTCATGGGGCATTTTATTTTACCTTAATTCTACAAGTAGCTAATAAAACAAGTTAAAAGGTTCTAGTTCATTATAGAACTGTGAGTTATTGGATCATTCATTTAACTATATCGGTCATCTTAAATTACAAATCCCAAATTATGAATCACTGAAACAAAATCAGATCCAGTCTAATTTAATAAAAATCCAGGTTGAAACAAAATTGATATTGTATCCTTCCTATTAAGTTAACTATGGCATTAGATGCACTTCATATTATAGCATGCTAATAATTTCATAAGTAAAACAATATTAAGTAGTTTCACATTAAATTTTATAAAATTGCGCAAAATTTTCATAAATATGCTTGGCCTGCACTGGAAGAAAACTTTTCATGTGCAAATCAGTGATCGATTAGATATTTCCAAGATATTTATGTGTTAGTGCAGGTGAAAACAAGTGTTGCTAGCCAAAAATTAAAAAAAAGAGAACAAGGATGTTGATTAAATCTTGAGTCTGTCTGTGAGTGCTAATATGTCAGTAGTTCATTAAGAACGTGTCTATGGTGTATGTGTGTATAAAACAAAGATATTTGATTAATATATATATATATATATATATATATATATATATATATATAATATAGTGTGTGTTTAATAATACATCTTATTGAATCTTCGCCATGAAGAATGTTTTGTACAAACATTCGATTAAAAGGCTTGTCACACTTGATATGAATAGTTGTGTTTTTATGTTGTAATTAAAATGTATTGTACTAATTATCCATAAACAATGTATATTTGTTTTCTTTCAGTATAGATTTTTTTTTTTGAATGAAGTATTATGTTTTCCTGACATGTTATAACGTAATACATTTTTATGAAATTTGACAATTTCTTGATCTTTAGCAAGCCAAACAAGGGAAAAGACAGAGTACGGAGCATAAGCAGGGAAAATAGTCAACGTAGGTATAGTCGAAGCAGAAGCCGGAGCCAAGACAGAAGCATGAGTTACTACAGAAGCTCCAGTCCTGAGTGGAGGGACGGCCAATACAGATACAAACGCAGCCGCAGTCGGAGCAAAGAGCGTGGAGAGAGATACCACCGGAGTCGCAGCAGAAGCAGAGAAAGGAGCAGCCAAAGTGCCAGGAAGAGAAGCTGCAGCCCTGCCGACACAAAGAGAGTTAAAAGCCCTGACAATGTAGAAGAACTATTGAGAAAAAGGAGAGAGCTAATGGAACTCAATGAGTTGATTGCACGTAAGAAAGCTATTGTCGCTATGGAGCAAAATGCAAAAAAAATTGATCCTGAGGATGGAAAAAGTGGAGTTACAACATTTGATTATCAGCATGTGCATCATGACAACATTTGGATGCCTGACCTAAAACCAGTGAAGTCCATCTTGAAGAAACAGTCTGAACCTCACACTGATTCTCAATCTCAGGTTTGTTTCTACTTGGAAAGGGGGTGTTGGAGGTTTCATTGGAACTTTTGTCCAAAAAAACTGAGAAGGTAACCTGTACTGCCCTCTGTTGGTTAAATAATACCATGGCATGCTGCTGAGAGAACTGTTAATGGTCTATCTCTATCCTATCAAAACTCTCCTGTTCAGAAGTGACTCATAAATAGCACTCATAAAGCACTCTGTTTTAGACTGTGCATAACTGAGTTATCTTTTTAATCTAACATATGTTGATATTTCAGAGTTTAATGAAATGCTCAGAGAGCATTAACAATCATAGTTACTTTAGAGAACATAAATAATATGGTTACTGTGTACTGCATGCGGAGGAGAGAGCCTGTAGATGGCTGCAATATACACCGATGAGCCAAAATATTACACAGCGCGCGAATTATTCAAGGGGGTCCACTTTACCATAACCAGTAAATAATGTTCGTCCCGCGTAACCCAATGTAGCCTCCAGCTTTTGTACATACTGTCACGTTGTTTGGATTTATTTATTTTTTTGCAAGGGTATGACTTAAAACATCGCTTACTGTTTTGAAGGCACTTCTACATTTACAGTTATTGAGAGCAGAGTAGGCTACACTGTTTTGTCCCGTTTTTAACTATTGCTGTCAGTATAGGTATTGTAAGAGCACGGAAAAAACTTTGTATGTGTTCAGTGATTTAGTATATTCGTGCGTCAAGCGCCGCGAGGAGGTTTGTGATATTTATGAATATTTCACCAGTATAGCGGGTGGGCGGAGGCGGAACCAATGAGATGAGATGCTCTGCTGAGCTGCTGTCATTATTCGCGTGAAGAGAGTAGACAGAACAGCACTCTTCTCATAAACCGAGAGAGCTTATAACGCTTATAAAATTATAAAGTTCAGTATAGGATAGTGCGAGTAGAAATGCCCGAGATGAATTCATTTACACTGGGTGCTTTACAGAAGCACATCACATCTGTCAGCAGCTCAGGTTACCAGCACAGTTCTCCACTGGAATCTGTATAATGAAGGTTACTGGGAAAGAGAAGAGCAGAGATGTCGGTGCCTTTGCTGAAAATTGGAGTAGTGCTCAGCACGATGGCGATGATCACCAACTGGATGTCGCAAACGTTGCCCTCACTAGTAGGTTTGAATAGCACCAAATTAAGCGTGGCACCTCCGGGTGTGCCGGACCGGAGCACGGGCGTGAGTTTCCTTCTTTTTGTTGTTCATGAGCTGCGAAAAACATTTATATTATGTATACGTTATAAATTATACTATTTAAATCATGTAAATTAGAAAATGAAAAAATTATGTTGTTCATACAGTACTCTAAAAACATCCATTCCGACTGCGAAATATATCGCCTGTGTGTTTTTACATTGTACCATGTCAATATCATGGTTTTTGGACATGTGCTGTACCATGGTGGTCCAATAGTATTCTCTGAAGTGCCTCGGAGTACCAAGTAAATATTATAGTATATAAATATTATTATATAATTATTCAGTCCTATAGATTGAAGTAGCATATATCCTGTGATATTACAGTAGTATCTGATGCAGTGAAAATATTTTTAATCGTTTTCCTGTCTTTGATGTTAATTTAGATTTGTGGTATTGTGTAATGATGGAACTTTTACTGTGCTGTAGTCAAAAAAAAAGTATGATCTCAAATAAGTGGACCTATTCCTGTTTTATGTCACTGCATGATTCATGTAGTGTAGCAACACAAAAGGTGGCAAATAATGACAAAAAAGTTATAAACGAAATAACTTTTTATTTTAATTTTTTTTTTTTTTACGTTTTTGGCAACTTTTGCACAAGAAAGCCAAAATGCATTATCATTAGTTCAGTGTTTCTTGTTTAAGACATCTTGTATTTATCAGAAGGTATTTGTTGTAGAACGAGGTAGTAGGAACCAGCTGGTTGGAGTTGACCTAACAGTGACAGCGTGTGATTAATTTGAATAGATATCCAATATTATGCAGCTTTTCCAATGGGCAAAAACCTTTGTGTTCTCTTGTTCAAACAGTGCAATCAGGTAAAATGTGTCTCAGCGGGGAGATTATTGACTTTGACGTGTAGCCAAGTATGGTGTCCCATACTCGGAATTTGTGCTTTGCATTTAACCCATCCAAGTGCACACACACAGCAGTGAGTAGTGAACACACACACACACCGTGAACACACACTCGGAGCAGTGAG